TTTGAGGGAGTTCTAAGTTTAATTTGTGGCATGTGCGAATACTTTTAAGGGGTGGAAACGTTGCTCGTGACAAATCAATCTTCGCAGTCAGTGTGTAAAGTTGCTCCCTTTAAAAATTGGCGACTGATGAATAGACTTTTAATTAACCCGTGCCAGAGCTCAGAGCAACCTCTGTCACCACCCTCGGAATGTGTGTTTAAACAGCTGCCGGCGAAAATATATATAAATACAGTGCCATATATATATCATATATATATATATATCAAGAATGGCCAACGGAATGCCTTGGCCAATGCTCAATTTACCGCACTTTCACGTCTGTCCAACCGAAATATAGTTTCTTGATTAATATAGATTTAAATTCGTATGAATTCTGAGATAAATTATGCGCAGCATTTCATCATCATTCCTAGCGAATATTTCTCATAAATTTGTTCGCAATTCTGTATGTAGATAGTTTCCCAAATTCCTAGAAATATTTCTCTAATCAATCACCTCATATAGGATTCCTTTGGTTCAAAGACCTGACATCAGCAGAGAAAGAGAGAGAAAGACGAGTCCTTCGCTTATAAAACGTATTTTCAACTTATTTTCCAATTACCAGATCCAATTGCCTGCCACTGCCACCTTTTGCTGGAACAGCACAAATCCAGCACAAAGGCCAGGTCACCATCGTGTCCATATAGATTTCCACAGCCACAATTGGTTATAAACACAAAGAGACACGAGGGAAAATGAGGGGGAAAACCTAATTGGTAAGACGGCGACACATTGAAAAGCGTCGCCACTTTCTTCTTTCTCCCTTTCCTTTGGTTTTTCTTTATTTCTTTTTTTTTGCAAGCCAAGCCAGAAAAACAATTCAAACCAGATACTCGACGAGGTGATAGCCACCCAAAAGTCACTCTGAACAAACAGCTATAACATCGCACTTAATACCAGCCGATATACATTCTGTAATTAATTCAATACCAACTCGTCTGGCTGTTTAATTTTGTGTCAAAGGTTCACTTTAATTATATTTGTATTCAATTTAAAATGAGCAAAGGCAGTAACACGTGAATTTATAATTACAAAGGAAAGATGATTAAAAGGGTTAATAAATAATGCGAGAATGTAAGAGCAACATGTAATAGAAACAAAAGGGGAAATGGGGTTTTAATTTAAACTGTAAGGTAACGTAACTACTTGATAAATGATTCTGTAAAGTTAAAAATTATATAATATGAGAGAAATATTTGCAGGTCTTTAAAACTTTCTATAAATTGCATTATTTAAGCTTTATGCTATTAAATAAAACTCAGGTAACACCATTTATTTATAATTCTCTCTCTGAAAGTAGCTTTTAAATCTCTTGAAAAATACAAAGGAGATTTTCTCTGACAAAAACTTATTTATCTCTTTTAAAACTCACTAAAGTCGCCTCTTCAAATCTTCAAGACTTCAACCCAAGTTGCCTTCTTCAACTCTTGCATCGAATTTAAGCCGAATTTCCGCAAAAACTATTCATCGCATTTCCCGCACCAAAGATTCCCATTCCCATGGGGCTTTCCATTCCCCCTACCCTCCCTTTTCCCTGCTCTCTCGTTTATACGGAAAATTCCGCTTTGATGTCTTCTCTTTCCTTGCTTTTCTCCTCTCCGATTGTTCAGTTGGCCATGTTGGGAATTATTATTTTCCGTCGCTGGCCTGCATAAAGGAAAATTCCCTTGCCCCAGGACACTCACACACACATACAGAGAGAAATCATAAAGCTGCTTAGCTGTCCCTTCGTGCATGTCCTGGCCAACTTAAGGACAAACTTGGCAAAAGGAGCAACCGGGGCAGAAGGAGCCCCCAAAAAAGGGGAGGTAATGCGAGAATGGCCAAAAAAGTGTTGCTATAAATAACCTTAGACGTCCGTAACCTCACATTCCATATAAATATGCATACACACAGAGAGAGAGTGTGTGTGTTTGGGCCACACACATAGCATGTACACACGCCAACTTTTTTTGTCTGCAGTCGAAATCAAGGAAAAAGCAAAATAAAAGCAGTTTCTCGTTTTATTTACCTTCCCCCTTTGACTTCCCCCCCTTCTAGACTTTTCCTTATATAAGGAAAATGGCCCCTTGGCAAGTGTGTCAAAGGTGTATGCTATGGAAAATCAGAAGGAAGGAAGGACGGAAGGAACAGGGAAGAAAAACGAAACAAACCAAAAATTATGCAGAACTTTTTGACAGTCCGCAGTCCCTCTTTTTTTCAGTTTTTCCTTTTTTTTGTTGTAACTTTCTTTTATTTTCCTTTTATATTCATGTTTCCTTTGTTGTTCTTGTCGGTTTGGAAAGTTTTTCACTTCTTTTTTTTAGGGTCTAAAACTTTGGGAGTACGAAACAAGCAGACAAACTTAAATTGATACGGTTACAAAAAGTGCCATGTGTGTTTGGAAATAGGAGAATTTTGAAAAAATAATTGATTGTTTTTGAGTTGTAATAATATATTACTTTGTTTTAATAAGAGATTGATAGAATATTCTTTTATGTTTTAATATTTAAGAAAGGTTAACGATGTGTTAGTAATGTCAATTTTTATATCGATCTGTTAAACGATATTACTAGTGAAAATGGATCTATAAAACCATACTATTTATATACAAATGTGCAATTAATCAATATTCTATTTATTATAACAAACTAATATAGTTAGAATATGAAACAAAATTAAAATAATTATGATTAAATATCATTTTAAGTATATTCTTTAATAATTAAGTGCAATATTTTTTTTAAAATTTAGTGAATTCAGTGAAGTGCTTAAGTGAAACTGAAATATTAAGTATACGTAGGAATGAGATGCTTTTCTTTGAATGAATGAATGAATTAAATTAAATCAGGCAAGCTATAACTTTAAAAGCAAATCAACTATTATATGTACTTACTTTAAGATCCAATCCCCTTTATTGGCAAACGGCAAATGGAATGGACTGTGTTTTCATTGGAGATGCACTTGAAATGGAGAAAATAATAAAGAATTTCCAATCGAAGGAATCCAAAGACACATATCAGAAAAAGGAGGAAACCAGATGGTCCTCCTCCTCATCCTGCAGAGAAAATCTGTAGAAATCTTCACCTTCATCAATACGATTTCAATAAGAACGCCCACAGTTTGTGTATATATTTTTTAAGGATTTCAAATTCATTTTATTGGTTTTTTTTTGTTTGTTTGTTTCTTTTCCTTTGTGTTTTCTTGTTTCCTCTCCTCTTTATATCATCTTTTACTTATAATTCTTTTCATTTTTTTTCGCAAATTTGTTTTTTTTTTATTGTATGTTTGCTTGTTTGTTGTGTTTGTTTGGTTGTTTGTTTCTTGTTTGTTTTTTTTTAAGATTTTCCATCTTATTTGTTGGTTTTAAATATATATATGTATATATATATTTGTATATATATGCGCTTGCTATATAAACTTAAATGTAGAAACTAAATTAAATAACTTGAATTTTGCTTTCTCATCCTCCTGCGTACCGGTTCATCATCTCTCATATATTAAATATTATATATATGTATATATTAATTAATATATATTCTTATCGAATCTTGCACGCACACACATGAAACAACAACGAAAAGGATTTCTCTTCCTAAAAGCAAAAAACTCTATGTTTGGACTAAGGAGAAAGCTCAAACAAAACAAGATTAGAGGGTATTACAAATTAGTGCACAAATTGAATTAATTATTTAATACATAAACATAAAGCATACAAATCGTTAGTCAGATAGTAAAGCTCAGATACTGTATCTCTGCATCTTTAAGAAACAAAACTAAAACGAACAAAAAAATTGCACAAACTTATAGATTGACTTTCTCCCGATCTCCTGGCTCCTCCTTCCTCTACTGCACATATGTTTCGAATATATATTTATTTAGGTATATATCCACATTAAATTTTATGCTCAGACTACCGTAGATTATTTTCAGTATATGCTTATGTGTGTGTATGTTTCTGCGCTTTGCCTGTGTTTCTTGTTTCTTGTGTCCTGTGTCCCTGGTGTTTATTTTTTGGGTGACTGGAAAAAGGACACAAAGGATTCATCGATCGGAAACACATAAATATATGTGTATATGCTTCATATAAAGGGGGGATGGGGACACAATTCTTATAGATGTGGTGTGATGTGAACATTCGTGGCTACAAACATCATCGTCTGCTTATTACTCGATTGATTTCCGTTTTTAATTTGTTTTTCTTTACTTTTATTTGTTACCATTAAATTTAGATGCTTAATTAATGCCTATTTATGACTTTTGTCTCGCAACTAGTAGAACAAATGATCATATATGTATATATATCAAACATAAAAATTATGTATATAAATTAATTTTTTATTTGTTACGATCCCGAGTTGCTCTCGCTCGCTATTTGTATCTCTCCTCTCCTCTCACAAACAACAACATAATTTAAAAGTCTTGACTTTTAAAAAATAAATAATAATAATAACAGTTGGGGGGGGGAAGAAAGGAGTACGGAGAAGTTTTAAAAAAAAATTAAAAAGAATCACGAAATCTCCTCCTAATGAAACGATCTTAATTCCTTTCCGCACATAACGAAACAAATATGTATAAATATATATACTCCGATCGATATTTACTTGAATATATATATAAACGTAACTGCTACACAGTTGCCTTTGCCTTTTAGCTTCATTTTTCCTCATTTCCCAATAATTATACTCTACCACATGATATTCCCTTTTGGTAAGTATAATGCTTCTTTTTCAATCTCGTGTATATATAGACTTGATTCCGCCGACATCCTTCTACTACTTTCCTTCATCTCATGCTCTCATTAATGCTAGATTTTATACGTTTTTATACACACAAATTTCAGTTGATTTTTTTTTTTTTTGTTTTCATGTTTTTGTTTTATGTGGCTTAAATGTAAACATTTAGATTTTGTTTTCTTTTTTTGCTTTATATATATTTCTTGCTGCGTTTCAAATGTTGTTTCTTGATACTTTTTACTTTGCTTTAGAATGCTTTTTATATTTTGGGTTTTCTTCTGAGTGGATTGATGAATGAAGTGTGAATGTGTGTTTATGGATGGATAACTATTCATGAGTGTTGTGGAAAATGGTCCATGAGCATAACGTCCTCTGACTCTGATTTTGGTTCTGATTCTGACTCTGATTCTGATTCTAGTTTTTGGGTTGGGCGGGCGGTATTTATTGTTGCACGTCGTCGCTGATTGTACAACATTTATATACGCATATATATATATGTATATATATTTATATAAATATCTAGAGACACGTCTTTTTATGGGGATGGCTACTTGGAACGCAAGCTCGCTTAGCAGGAGGAAGGCGGAGGACATTCCGGCCGACACAAGTGTCCTCATTTTGGGGCGAGTTTTGGCTTTTATTTTTGTATCTTTCTTTTTTTTCAAACTCATTTCATCAGCTCACACACATATTACACCTTGTGTTTGCTTCTTTCTTTGTTTGTTTTTTTTTGTCAAGCGCACTGTGTGCACCATAATTTCTTTTTTTTTGTGTTAATTTTAACCTTTTTTTGTATTTAATTTAAAAATTTTTTAAAGCGTTTACACTGCAGTGGTTTAGTGAGTGATCAATCAATCGAAATCGATCGAAATGTAATGAAATTTTCTGTCTCTTTGATGGATTTCCTCTTACTCTCTCTTCGCTTCCGTTTGCTTCGGTTTTTCTCTTGTATTCTCTCTTTTTTCTTCAGTTAAGACTAAGCTACGTTACAACTAAATATCTGTAGTCTCGCGGTTATATATATATATGCTATATGGTTATGAATGATTATTTTCTTGTATTTATGCTTCTGTTACGATTATCCTCCGGTTGTCCTGAAGAGTTTCTCCACATGTCCTTCCAGCTTGAAATGACTGTTGTTCCGGGGCTGAGTTTTCGAGCTCTCTTCCACTTTTGCAGATGGAGGGGGGGAATATGCTGCAGAGGAGTCAGGAATATATATAGATATATATATAAAGAGTTAGTTTGTTGTCTGCAGACCCAATCAAGCATTCATGCATTTGCATAATTCGCAATTTATTGAGCTCTCGCCTCGATCGACTTTGACTTCTTCCGATTCGATTCGATACGATTCAATACGATCCGGCACCAATCAACCTTGACTTGAGGCACTTCCTACTCGGGTTTCTTAACCTCTGTCGCATATCAAATCAAAAATCAAGCTCAAGCATAGACCATAACTCATTTCGGGCATTAAACTAACTAATATTCAAGAAACAGCTAAAACCTAGAGCGCCGGAATCGGATTCTATTAATATAATTAATTTGGCTATTGGATATTTCACGTTTTCAGCTGGGTCAAGGTCGTTTCTTTTAACCAAAACCAAAAAAAAGAGAGGTTACCAAATATTAATGAACCCAAGAACTATGTTGAGTGATTCAATGAATCAGTTAGGAATATATAGGTTTTTAATGGAATATTCCTAAAACAAATATCGTGGGAGTAGGGCACTTAGAACAAGAAAGGAAGCTAACTTCGGCACGCCGAAGTTTATATACCCTTGTAGATAGAACTTCGATGACTAGGAACCCATACAATATAAATTATACATATTTGTGTTAAAAAACAATGAAGTAATACCTGCTTTCATTTAATTCACCTATACATATTTTATTTGCTGTTTATCATTCACAGATTTGTATTTTTCCTCTACATCAAACGATCGTTTGTATGGCACATACATATATGATATAGTCGTCAGATTTTCATAAAATTTAACACAAAATTGAAGACTAATATAAAATGGCTATTTCTCAAATTTGATCAAATTCTGTTGAAAACTGAAAATGTTATAATTTTTTTGTAAAAATATTCCGATCATTCCTATAGCAGCTTTATGATATAGTCGTCAGATCTGGCCCGTTTCGACATATATACGAGTAAGAGTATATAGAAGGCTAACTACAAAGTTTCATTCAGATAGCTTCAAAACTGAGAGACTAGTTTGCGTAGAAACGGACAGACGGACAGAAGGACAGACGGACAGAAGGACTGACGGACAGACGGACATGGCTAGATCGACTCGGCTGTTGATCCTGATCAAGAATATATATACTTTATATAGTAGGAGGTGCCTCTTCACTGCGTTGCAAATTTCTGACTGAAATTATAATACCCTGCAAGGGTATAAAAAGGAATTTCAAAATCCACAGCTAGTGTCAAAATAATTCAGAGCTTAAACATTAAACACCTAATGGAACTGTCTGCCTTTTCTATATTATAAAAATTCAACATATTTCTCTGTTAAACTTTAATAAACTCCTACATTAAAATAACACCCTAATATTCCCAAGAATTATGTCATATTACAAGAAGCTATAAAGACTTCAATCCATTACTTTTAGCAATTTGCAATTAAGGCTGCAGCTGAACGATAACTATTCTATGACCACTTCAAACACACACAGCTAACAACCTTATGGAAAACCCTTGGAAAAACCCACACAATCGACCCCCCCTTTGATGGCGCCTTTTTCGCCGGCGGAAAAACTCCCGCGAGGAGAGAAATTTTCCCATGTCCCCGGAGCAATATTGGCATGTTAAAAGTTTTATAGATTTTTCGCCTTATCAGTGCCGCGCGGCACATGGCTTGGCTCCACTCCGACCCCCCTTCCCCCTATTTCAGGGGCGTAGGCATCTCTGACAGTGGGGCTTATGACGTCAGCGGGCCACAGCAGCGTGTTATATTAAATCTCTTACATGTATGCATGTATGAAACCAACAACCAAACACAACAAAGAATACTAAACAAAAAAAGAGAATAACAAGATAAAAAAAATATATATAAAAAAAAGTTTGTTGTATTTTCAGGCGGCGGGCTTTATCGTTGAAACAAAAAGCGTCACTGAATCGCTGCACCCACGCAAAGGTAGCCCAGGTATAGATACACAGATACAGATACAAGTTTGGGGTAACCGAAATCGGAGAGGTGCAATATCCAGACTTTCAGGCAGCGGCACTCAGATACTCAGATACTCGAGTATCGGGTTGGGTTGGCGTTGGAGTTTGGCATTGAATTTACAAGAGATCTTTTGTCCGCCATTGTCTCGAATTACATAAAGCCAAAATTACGGCCATCGATGAGACAGGAGGAGGAGGCGGAGGAGGAGTGGGCATTACGTGAGTCAAGTAACCAAACTAATGGAAGACAGGCAACAAACTTTCACCCATCATCCAAGTTATCTACGGCCTTCAAGGTCTCTCTCCTCAAATAAAAAGGCACAAAAAAAACCTTAATGCAGTAAAAGTGTACGTATTTAATATTGATATCCAAAGCTGTAAAGCAAAAGATGAACGACTGAAATATTCATACAATCTCTTTGTTGCATAAAACATTTCAAGTTCGGTGTAACAAGTTTCCCCCAGGTAAGCTTCAAAACTTTGCCAAGGAACAAACCCCTTTTTCTTGTGGAAATGGAAATGGAAATGGAAAAGGGGCAGCCGGCAGGTGAAATCCCGGGCAACATATTTGACCTACACGCAATGACAAAAATGTTGGCACAAAAGAACAATCAAAAAGAATATATGTATACGCTTCAGCATATTTTCATCTATGATATAGCAACGGATACTTAAATCATATGAAAAATAAATTAAATTATTTAGAAAATATAATTTTTGTCTTGATCCAACACAGTCACAAAAAAAATAAAATAAAATAAAAACAGACGAAAAACATTTCAATAAATCAGCGAAAAACCAAGACAACCGAGAGTGGACAAGCCAAAAATATCTTTAGATATATAAATTGTGCATATACAATCTATAAATGAACATATATCAACGGGTTTTATATATATCGAGGGAAATATTATGAAAATGAGCTAAGGAAAAAGAATTTTGATTGTTCAACCAGCTGTTGTCGCTTTTCATTTCCAAAGAGCTCGCTTGCATTGCCAAAAAAGAAAAGCATTCCCTAAAAGCCTTTGTGCAGTTTTTCACCTTCTCTGGGCTAAGAGATTATTGCGTTGCATAATTTATTTACACTTTTCCTTGGCTTATAAATGTCGTATCACGATTTTTTGTTACTTTATTTATAGTTTGCTCTTTTACCCAACTATTCAGATACATATATAGATATAGATACTCAAACTCGCTTTTCCTCCCAAGGAGTCAGTTGTCGAGTTTCCCTTGTCGGTAATTACGCATTTTTTGCAGTCTGTGTTTTGAGGCCATCAAATATTCAAAGGTTGGACAGCTTTCAGGTGGATTTTACCTGTGAATGCGGCAAGGGTAGTGGGTGGGACCTGGGAATGTGTCGTTCTCGTTGTCCCAGTCCCAGTTTCAGATTCAGTTTCTGTTGCTGTTTCTGTTTCTATTTCACTCTCCATTTAGTCCCCAGGTCGCAGTCACTTGGCCTTTTCTAAAATGCACAAAGCACTAAACACACACTGAGCACACGAGTTGGGGGTCGGAAAACTATGTCAGCAATCTTCAGTGCCTTCCAAACACGTCGTCGTCGTTTTCGTTGTCAACTGCTTAACTCCCTGCCTCAAAATATCACATATTTGTGAGACAGCTGGAGAGCCCTGGCATAGCATATCTTTCAGTATATAGATAAGACAATGGGGAATATGGGTAATGAAAGGGGTTTTTGGAGGAGATTCAAAGGATTTTCCATCAAGGGGGTTTTAGGAAATGGGTGTTAGCTTAGGTCATCAGTTTCCTGGAAGCTTTTAATTATCAGAGAAGGTATATTTGGTAAGGAATCAGGTTTCTCAGAAAGCAAAGAAGCTATTAAGGCTAAGTACTTTTAATGGAGTGACTTGCTATGACTTTCTTCTTAGTCCTAGGTTTATTTTTAACTTAAATCCCTTTATTTTTGTACACTTTACTATCCTCTAAAACACCTCTATTTTTCCTAAAAGTCTTCTATAATTTCCCATTCTCTTTATATCAAACCTTCTGTTAAGTTCAACTACAAAACTCATATAGATTTCAGGGTTTTGGAATTTCCATCAGGCTTGAGCATCTTAATTAGACGCCTTCTTCATCTTCTGTGACTGGAAAACGAGTATCTGCCAATATAAATTCCGCCTCTATTCCTTTTGAAAATGCTTTCAACTGATTTCAACTGATTTCACCCCTTGAACCCCCAACTGATTCACACTTCAATGGCCACCGTCGATGATGAGTTTCCCTTTTTGGCGGACATCTTCTCTGGTCAATCAAAGAAAATGCTTCTGTGACGGCAAGTTCAATAAACGCAAAAACGAGAAGATCTGCAATTTGCAATTCACATTCGGCGCTTTTGTTGCTCCCAATTCTCTGGTCTGCTTATTCTCCCAGACACACAGACACACTCGCTTTGAACCCTCAACTTTGTTTAATAACAAAACAAATGCAAGACAAATGCAGAGGGAAAAAAGAGGAAAATTAAAGAAAATGAAAATACAAATGAAAAGAACACAGAATCGGAATGCGAGTGGGGATCGGCATGCCAATTATCAAGGCGCCCTCCCATCGATACTTATACTTGGCCGCTGCTGTTGCTGCTCGTAAATCAAAGTGTGGAAAAGTTTTGGGGCCAATCGAGGAATAAAAGAAATAAATGGTTAGAGAGGCACGCCGCCGTATCTAATGTCAATAAACTTTTTGGCTTTGAAATCAAATCAATTTTCATGCCAAGCGAAAGCAGACATCGTCGTGATAGCGCAGGAAAAGTGGCAAGCTGAAGGGAAAATCGATGCCCTCAAGACAAATCAATTAAAGCAAAAATTTCACGTTTATGTTATGTTATTTATCTCGTCTGAATTTCACATTTTCACTGAACTAAAGAAAAGTCCGGGACAACACTGAAAATTAAATGAACAGGAAACGGAAACATGACAAGAAGGAGGTTCGGGGGCTTGTGAAAAACTCTGAGAGGGCTTTTCGGGGGTACAGAAGCGCAAATTAAAAGCAAATTTTAATTTTT